GCATCATCACATTTGATGCTCCCATTGGTTTTTGGATTGACTTTTGTCACAGCTGTTGTAACATTACAGGAAAGTTTAACTGACAATGCCAGAAGGGAGGGAAATCATGCAACAGCCAATAAGCGGCAGTCTATGAACATGTGAAAGCAACGATTAAATATCACAGGTTTTAGCCTAAGATTTCAAAAGTCTTTTAAGATTTCCCAAATTTGTCTCAAATGACCAAATCGTGGCTAAAATTCCATAGTGTGAGCAGGGCTTTTGTTAGTGGTCTTCATATTTAAAAGATCCAGATAGCACTTATATAAGTGCTATGATTGATTGACTGATTGAATGGTTGATTGATTGATTGATTCATTGATTGATTGATTGATTCATTCATTGATTTATTGTCAGTTTTCTCAGTGTTGATAAAGGTGTGTCTAACAGAGGGAAAAGAACAAAAACTAATGTCTATCAAAGATAGTGTACGTGCAAAAGTGTTTCCCTTCTTATTATTTTAAACTCTTGGAGAGACTTCTGTGGCCTTAAACAGCCCACTAGAGAAACAGATGGGAAAACAAAAAGATTTTTTCAAGGGATTATTGATCATTGTCAGAAGGTTTAAAGAAAAGACAGACTTTTCCTCTTTTCTTTTTTACATGATTCAGATGATGCAAGACTGCAATACTTTTTTTTTTTTATGTAAATGCCAAAGTAAGCTCTTCTACAGATGGTCTCCACAGTCAAGTCAACATGCTCACTGCGCCAAACACCATATGGATGACTGCCAAACTTATCATAAGGCCCACTTCAGCATTATAGCTGCCCTCAAGGGGGCAGACTATATAAATCTCGCTACTCTTTAACATATCAATAATTGTCACTTCATTTTATTATAAGATATTAAAGTATTGTATTAGCATATATGTAAAATAGATATTACTTCTCAGCCTATATCTCAATTTAAGACCTAAGACCATATAAAAAAAATAAAAATGCTGTAATATGCACCATAAAACCCAATATATCCCAATAATCTTATCTAAATACATGTTGTTCCAGGATTTTTTCAGCAAACAGGCAGCAACCTATCTACCCCCTTAGCTATCACCTATCTACTCACTGGCTGCTAAATTTCCTTAAATGTTGAGTATCAAGTGCGTCCAGAAAGTATCTATAGCTCTTCACTTTTTTATGTTACAGCCTTATTCCAACATGGATTAAATTAATTTACTTCCTCAAAAAAAAGGGAAAAATCTCATGTACATAAGTATTGACAGCCTTTGCTCAATACTTTGTTGATGCACTTTTGGCAGCAATTACAGCCTCAAGTCTTTTGAATATCATGCCATACGCTTGGCACACCTGTCTTTGGTCATTTTTAGCAACTTTCAGATCTCTCTAGAGATGTTCAATAGGATTTAGATATGGGCTCTGGCTGGGCCTCTCAAGGGCATTCACCAAGTTGTTGTTAAGCCACTCCATTGATATTTTGTGCTTTGGGTCATTGTCCTGCTGAAAGATAAAACGTCGCCCATTCTGAGGTCAAGAGCCTTCTGAAGCAGGTTTTCATTCAGGTTGTCTCTGAACATTGCAGCATTCATCTTCCCCTCTATCCTGACTAGTCTTCCAGTTCATGCTGCTGAAAAACATCCCCACAGCATGATGCTGCCAACACCATGCTTCACTGTAGGTATGGTATTAGCCTGGTGATGTGTGACGCCTGGCATTCCCTCCAAAGAGTTAAATTTTAGTCTCATCAGACCAGAGAATTTTGTTTCTTATGGTCTGAGAGTCCTTTAGATGCCTTTTAGAAAATTCCAGGCACGGAGCGGCTTCCCTCTGGCCACTCTACCATACAAGTTTCTCCTCTCTCCACAACAGAACGCTGGGGCTCAGACAGAGTGATCATCAGGCTATTGATCACCTCCCTGACTAAGGCCCTTCTCCCCCGATCACTCAGCTTAGATGGCTGGCCAGCTCGAGGAAGAGTCCTGATGGTTCCAAACATCTTCCACTTACAGATCATGGAGGCCACTGTGCTCATTGGAACTTTTTTTCCGTATCCTTCCCCAGCCTTGTGCCTCGAGACAATCCTGTCTTGGAGGTCTACAGACAATTCCTTTGTCTTCGTGCTTGGTTTGTGCTTTGACATGCACTGTCAACTCTGGGACCTTATATAGACAAGTGTATGTGTTGCAGGCCCTGCCTCCGGAGACCCAGCAGACAGATTACTGTTTAACTGTAAAACAGGATAATGAAATGAAAACCACGGAGTCACGTCTGCTCCCTTGCAGCTCCTCTGGCGATCTGCTAATTTATTGTACAGCATCAGAAAATAACAATAAATTTGCTTTTTAAATCATTCACGATTCACAATAAACTGTCTGTCTCACACATTTTGTCACTTTAGAACAGATAAAATCAACCATATAATCACTCTAGTGTCTACAACATTGAAAATCAATCACACTCTGTCTTATCTTCTCTTTTTTTCCCTTTTAGTTGTCCTTAGAATACTCAATACACATCTTAATCAGTATTAACAATTATTAATTACAAATATATTATTTATAGACGTACATATGAAGCTGTAAAACTAGTATACACTCAGCAATACTCTTATTCTCAGTCAATGTGAACTGAACTGCACCATTTTCTCTCATGTAGAGGCATTTTAGGAGAAACCCCTTAGCTGCAGCAGCTCTTTGTGCTTCCCTTCAGTGAGTGGTCACGTGACCATTAAGCGCGCCAAACGCGAGTGCTGAGTGAGCCTCACGGAGCCATTTAACCATAATAAATTAACTCTTTACATGTCTAAACAGGTGGCTTTTACCTTAAAATAAATATTACAATAACATAGACTGCTATAGCGATCACTGGAGCACACTTAACAACTTATTTTTGTACATTAGTGCAAACAAAACATATAATCGGCACTCAAACATACTTTTAAATCACCTTATACACTTGTACATATTCCACACGTCAAAATAATACACATTCACTGTAATATTATGTTTAGTTTGTCCATATTTACCTGTAAAACAGGATAATGAAATGAAAACCACGGAGTCACGTCTGCTCCCTTGCAGCTCCGTGGATCGAGTGTCAAAATAAAAGTCCTCTCCATGAAAACGCAAATGTCCACTATTTTGCAAACAAATACTGCACGAACATATTTTATAACTTTTAAACCCATCTTATTTAAACAAAACAACACAATTGAATATACACTTTGTGTGTATCACATATGCCTTTTCAAATCATGTCCAATCAACTAATTTCATCACAGGTAAACTCCAATTAAGCTGCTATATCCTATGTCTGTCCAGGAGCAGGAGACGTATACACAGGAGGCTCTTCAACAATTTGACCATCTATTTCTCCGAACTTTCTTGACAATTTACCCAGAACTACCACAGAAAACATACAGAATGAAAAATTAGCTAACAATCCAAAGTCAAACACAGTAATCAAAAGGAGTTACCAGGAAAAATTTATGTGTGTGACTAAAATAATCCATCTGACATGGAACAGGTGCAAATGTGTTCAGTGGATAGTAGGAAGTGGAGTTTGGGGATACAGTCAATATTCTGGTGATGGTGACCTCTGGTGATGATCTGAGGAAACCACTGATTCTGGATATGTGAATGTGTTACTGCAGAAATATATGCCTGCATGAAATTAAACACAGACACACACACACACAATATATATATATATATATATATATATATATATATATATATATATATATATATATATATATATATATATATATATATATATAATGTTATAATTATTATTATTGTTATTAATATATTAATATTTTAGAAATATTCTTTAATTCAGAAACACTATAATAAAATGAAACATGAAAAGTACAGTGATCAGTTGCCCATTCAGAAAATTATCAGTGGCTTGCTTAATCATTTTGAATCATTCTTGTAGTGAATTGCTGCCACCAGGTTTTTTCAGATTTTCTTTTCTTGTTTATTTTGCAATGGCAATATTCCAAAGCAATTTTATGCAGTACTTTACAGGAGAAACCTTTGAGAGATTATTACTACAGCGTAAAGTCTTATCAGTGAGCTGCGTGGATTACTTACATGATCCCACGCAGATCCATGTTTAGCTAAATGAAAACTTCAAAAGGGCATCAGATCTAAAGCTCTAGATATTTAAAATAGAATGCCCATAATTGTCATTTCCTTTAGGTGCTGCAAGGAATCAAAAACTACATGTGATCCTTCCTTAATCCAGTGATGCAGCCTGTGGAGGCGGACCTAAATTTTATTTTTGGAGTACATAAATTGTCATCTCACTTAGCTTGGAAATTCAAGCTTTTGAACAGGGGTATTGACTACAATGAAAGTCTACAGATCAACTTCATGTATGACAGCTCATTTTTTATTTAGTTGCTTAGTATATTGTAGATTTTTCGATTTTTATTGTAAAAATGTAATTTTATATATTTTTTATTTATTTATTTAATTAATTAATTAATTAATTGTATTCCAGGTGTGGTGACAATATTGTGGATTTTTGCCACATCCTCTGCACAAGGTAAGCAAGGGAACACTGCTATAATTACACCTTTACTATTTAACACTGGCCATTAGAATTCCACATGTGTCTAAATAATGTGGATTTTATCATTTCAATTATTATTAGTATTTATTTCTTTAACCACCAAAACAATACATGGCAAGCTTTTTCTCCTTATGTTTATTTATTTACTTTGTTACTCATTTTTTATTAACTTTTTTGGTGGTGGAGAGACGAATCTGATCCATAGAAATTATTTTACATTTGTTGAGTGACGAACTGTTGCTCGCGCTCTGAAGCACAGAGCGCAGAATCAGATTACTGATGTGCGCACACGCACCAACTGAGCCTGGAAGTGTAAAGCAAGGAATAGTTACACACCCACCTACACTGGATACAATGTTGACAGAGCAACGAGGGAAAGTACTCTATGACTGTGGTAGCGTGATTTGATATTTGCACTAGTACACAGCTTATTTTATCCTGTGGTGTATCTTACTTAGCGCTTGTTTGATGTTATGATAAAAGCCGTTGTTTTGTCTCCGTTTAGACGTGCTCTGTATTGTTGAATGTGATTCCGAGTAGAGTTCTGCTATTTCTTTATCGATCTATCATAGCAAGTTGTCAGTCAGTATTTCGTTGCAGAATGGCTGTATGTGCGCGCATATGTTGTCTTTAGAAATGCTGCATATGGCAATAATGTTATAGTTTCTTGTCTGTATTTGTTTGGAACTGCTTAGCATTCTTAGCCGAACGAAAACATGCCTGTTTTAAAGGCTTGTTGGAGTAACAGCTAATTTATTTGAACAAACAAGCCTGCTACAGTCAAAACTGCCAAGAACCGATAACAAGACTCTTGAGAACTTGAAAAATGTCTCTTCACACGTGACGCAGTCCATTTTCATGTGCGCAGCCTGTTTGTAAATAGTGGTTGGTTGGGGTAGAAATTCAACAAAAATGGTTTGCCTTTTTTATTTTATCATTTGCTAAAATCGTATTTATTTTATCATTTGCTAAGTTACCACTAGAATGATTATGCCTATTCTCCTTTTTGACTACTTTATGGAAGTTTTTTTTTATTATTATTATTATTTTTTTTAGAAATTGTGAAAGTAACTGCTTTAGGCTATCATAGAACTGAATAGAGCCAGGTGGGTGGGAGGTTGCCCACAGACATAACATTCATTCATTCATTCATTCATTCATTCATTCATTCATTCATTCATTCATTCATTCATTCATTTTTTCATTCAATAATTTTGTTTAGTGTGAACGACTAAAGGTCATGCACTTACATTAAGTCAATTGAATGATTGAAACGTATTTTTTGCAAAGACAACACTTTTTATATTGAATCATATCTTTGTTTTTTCAGGAATCTGCCATCATGACAGGGGGAAGCAGTAAGTAACTGCACATATCCTTTACAGTTTCACAAGAGACTATTTTTTAGTAATAGTAGAATTAGTGATACATACAGTTGAAGTTAGAATTATTAGCCCCCTGAATTATTAGCCCCCCTATTAATTTTTTTCCTTAATTTCTGATTAACGCAGAGAAAAAAAAATTGTACACATTTCTAAACACAATAGTTTTAATAACTCATTTCTAATAACTAATTTATTTTATCTTTGTCATGATGACAGTAAATAATATTTGACTAGATATTTTTCAAGACACTTCTATACAGCTTAATGTGACATTTAAAGGCTTAACTAGGTTAATTAGGTTAACCAGGCAGGTTAGAGTAAATAGGCAAGTTATTGTATAATGGTGATTTGTTCTGTAGACTATCGAAAAAAAAAATCTTCTTAAAGGGGCTAAAAATTTTGTCCTTAAAATGGCTTTTAAAAAATTTAAAAACTGCTTTTATTCTAGCCACAGTTAAACAAATAAGACTTTCTGATAAAAAAAATATTATCAGACATACTGTGAAAATTTCCTTGCTCTGTTAAAAATAATTTCGGAAACATTTAAAAAAGACACAAAAAACAAAAAATCAAAGGGGACTAATAATTCTGACTTCAACTGTATATAATATATATGTATTATTATTATTATTTTTTTTTTTGTAAAACCACCAGAAACACAGGTTTTAGTGGCGAGATGGAAGGCAGCAATAACCTGCACTGTTGTGGAAATCAGTCTTACAACATCTTAAGAAGCTCCTGCTGCAATGGTAGGTCTATACCTGGTGAGTCGTGAAAGTAATGGTTTACAGAGAAATTACAAAAGTTGAATATTGAATGGGATTTGTGTTTTATTTGAATGTGTTTCAGGTAATTTAACTCTGGGATTAAGCCAGCTTGTGACTTACTGCTGTGGTTCTGTACCCTACAATCCCCTAAATGAGATTTGCTGTAGTGGCAGTATTTTCATTCGAACTAGTGCTCACACTAAATGCTGTGGCAAGGGTAAGCAATGCACTTGGTGTGACTAATACCTTGCCATTGTTTACCATAGTTCAGTTTTAACACTCTTTGGCATTGAGGTTGTTGCTCAGTGTACTACAGTGAGTTCTTTATAATAGGTGTTTCAAACCAGAGTAACATATTCTTAGTTCTGAAAATATTGACAGAGCTACCCATTTTTTTGCATTGTTGGAACAGGAAATTATTTTAGTTAATCCGCAGTTTTATCTTCTCAAGATCTTTTTTGATCAGGCTCATATTCAGATTTAATCGTGGCTTTAAAAAAAATGAAAATATGAGTGACTGCCAATTTGAAAATACAAATATAATTAAGGTAGGCCACGGTGCTTTTATTTATTTTTGCTGCTTACTGCACACAAAACAATCACCAACTAATGAGAGTGATTGTAAACATAAGAAGGCTGATTGGCTGAAAATACTGTTGATGATCAAGAGTTAAACGTGATGTCTTCCTTAACTTGCGCATGGTGACTACTGTCATTTGTGTGGCATGCACACAATCCACACAGCCTTTGCTCGCACTCATTCATATTCTGTCCTTTTCACGCACAAGCACACACAGGTATTCCTTTTTGCAAGAAGGAAAGTTTATTCCTTGCCTGGGTAACCACTGGTCACAACCCCTAAATGAGACTCCTGAACAGAAAAATGCAAATACAATTATACCTTGTACTTACCAGCATTTTCTGAGTTACTGAATTACTTTTCTTACTTACATTCATTTACAGACCCTTACCAAACAACGAATCATATATGTTGTGGTGATGTATTGCTGAAAAAACAACAAAAGAAGAAATGTTGTGGCAAGGAACTATTTGACACACTGACCGAGTGCTGCTGTGACCAAGACCTAGTCTTAGCAATAAAGCCCAAAAGTGATCCTTGCTGTCAGACTAAACCAGGTGTGTGTATACAGCTCTTACAGTAATAATTTTATTAACATCAAATTAATGGCAAACAGTGTTGTTAGTATGTTATAATCAGTGTATTTTTCTCACAGTTGAAAAATCTGAATCCTCACAATGCTCTCAGGCCTCTGGGTAAGTCTCTATGCTGTCACAGATGAGTCCTCAAATTATTTTTAAAAGACACATAAAAGCCGTATCTAGTCACAGCATTTGTTGAATACAAAAATATCAAAATGCTTTAACAGGTTTCATTTTGGAAAGTGTATCTTTTGAAAATGCATAAATAATTACAGCAACCAAAATCATGGTTTGATTAAGTTTACAATAATAAATAATGCAAAACTAATGTCCCACAGCCATGGTACCTAAAAAAATGTAGAAATTTGTAGTAGGTTCTATAATCCTAAACATGGAAACATAGTGACTATAATATTTTCAGTAGACTATATATTACTGTACTTTGGTTTTACAACATATTATCATCCGGCTTAATTATTATTGCGTACAATAACATTAATAATAATAAATAACCATTTTATTCAGTTTATTAAAAATCCAAAAAATAACAAAAGACATTTAACAATTTATTAAAATATAGTTTTATTGTATCATAATTTTCTCTGTGTGTTTGTGTTTATGTGGGACTTGAAAAACCTACAAGAGCGCACAACAATATTGCAGGTAAATATCCTCGTAGTCTAATCTATTTGTTACTAAAAGCAAGTCTAGTTCCCTTCTTAGTTGGCATGTTCACATTTGTTTTGTTTTTAATTAAATGTTTTTGCAAGAAAATGCTGACAAGTGGCCCTTTTCATCAAAAAAAGTGTTCAGTGTTCTGACGGCATGTCACCTCAAGTATACTTACATTTCCGATAGACTGCTGTTATTAATTGGTGACTGTTGCTGAGTAAATATTAATGCTAGCTATGGTAATTAGGTAATAGTTTTGTTAACAACGCAAAGCAGAGAGTTGTTGTATAGACTGGAGGGCTTTATTTTGCGAAAACAGCTGATGGATTTTCAGTTTCTTGTTTATTATACAGCTACTTGCCACAAAACTAAACAATTAAACACAAAACATTTATCTGAGCCATAATAATTTAGCACCATCTCCATTTTTGTTTTTTCTTATGTTCTTATTATACACACTTGTCACTAATTGACATGATCTTAGTGTAGGGAACTTTTATCAGAAAATATAAATTTTCAACTTTAAAATATGCAACAACAAAAAAAAAACACTCTGGGGTGCGTTTCCCAAACAACGACGTAACTCACGGCTGAGCTATAATAGTATGATGCATCGTTTGGGAAAAGAACAATGTAGTGACGAGTGTTTTACCGTAGTTTCTCCTCCACAGATACATCCACATTACATTACAGAACCAAATTAGTCATAACGTAAAACGCCCATAATGTCGCTCTAAACGGGGTGGAGGAACTACTTCTTTAGAGAAGAACCCCATCATTTCTTTGTGCAAATTAAATTTTTTACACAAACACGCATTTAAAAAAAAAATCCAATATTAGTTTTGGTAAAAACATGCACTCGCTTTCCAAATTAACCGAATTCTAAGAAAATGCCACATATAGAACCTTTGTTTCCTTTAAAATATTGAGAATATGACATATCCTATTCTAAAAAAAATCACTTACAAAAGCTAATACATATTCTAATATTATATATAAATCATATGAATAAATAAATAAAAGTCTATTTATTATAAAATAAAATTTAAAATTTATTACATATTAGGAAATGAAAAAAAATCCTAATTTAATAACAATATTATTAATACTAATGATGATTATGAGGATGATGATGATAATAATAATTAATATTATTATTATGCATTAAAAAATGAAAAAAAGTAAGGTATTGTTTCTTTTTTTTTTTTTTTTAGAAAAGTCTACTTTTACAATTTGACACATGCAAACTGTCATATACAGTACAGATACTTAATAAATAACCCACTAAAAATGAAAAGAATTAACGTATGCTTTTTGTTTTCACAAGCTTTGGAGACATAACATAAATTCCTCTTTTAAATAATAGGTCACCTATATCTTTCGCTTGAGGCTGTGTTCAAAATGACATTAATGTTTTCAAAGTGCACTGCGAAGGGAGCACAATTGTAAACATGAAAATTGCTAAAACTGAACTGTAAAAATAGTTTGAAAGCAAATTACACCTAAGGGAGATGAGCTTAATGCTTTTTTTATTTTTAATAATTCCAACTTTGAATGTTAGAATGTTCTATATGAATAGGGCATAGGGGGAATAAGTGGGAATAGAACACAGTCGGAACTATGTTTCTAACAGTTCCAGAGCTTTAGTTGCAAGTGCTCAAGTTTGCGAAGCAGTTGCGAATGTTCGTTGGAGCGATGGATGAGGGAAAAGGCCAATCAACAAACTATGCTTGTGACGAAGAACTTGTGACCTTAGTTGACTAACGATGGTTTTGGGAAACGCACCCCTGGATGGTTTGGAAAGCATGACTTACACGTCAGGATTATAATGTAAAATAAGATCAAAATTATGCCAACTGTGTAAATGGCCTAAACTGATATATTCCAGGTGTATAACTTGAGTGAATTATTAGTCACCATGGAAATGATTGTGGTTGCATGGTTATTCAAGCAATAATTCCACTCCCTCACTAATTTCATTCTCTTCTAGAGAATTGTGGATCCTATGATCCTCAGACACATATTTGTTGCTCAGGGTTTCTGTACAGGAAGGCATCAGAACTTACTAAGGTAGAATTACTTTTGGACCTAAACATCCCATAAAGTTAAATGATTCTGTAATTTTCCAGTAAAATGTGCATATGGAGAATTTGAAGAATTTATATAGAGTATTCAAAAACTTTGAACAAACAACTTTGTATATCTGTGTCCTCAGTGCTGCGGAAAACACCTTTACACTTTCTCCGAGGGAAACGTTCTGTGTTGTAATGGAATCTTGCATCGAGATATGCCTGAGAAGTCAGAATGTATTGGAGGTGTTGTATATTCTCCAGGAAACACTACATGCCATCTGCCTGTTCGTCCCCAAATTGGCGAGCACTGTTGTGGAAATCAAACCTTCGATCCTCTTATCCATATTTGCTGTAATGGACACAGGTAAGCCCACAGAGTCTTGGTGAGTAAGAGCTAGTTGGAAGTTGGAAGACATTACTTTGTCTGGGAAAGGGTTTGGATGTTATGCAAACTGATATAATTTGACTAGACATGACTAGCCTCTCAAAGCACTTTATCGTTATTGGGGTTAGTTCTGTGTGATGACAGTACTGACCCCAGACAGTACACAGATGATTTCTTTGGCACTTGGTGGTGGTCTGGCTCAAAATATCAGTTTGGATATCTGTCAGCTATGCAGTACATTCTCTTCATACAGTACATAGCTAGTTATGTTGATAGTAGGGGTGTCAAAATTATTTGTTTTTTTCGGTGCACCGCGATGCAGAGTAGAGAATTCGGTAACGGTTCAGTAATAATCATAACCGGTTATTATGTACTGATGTCATTTATCTCACTCAGGAGCCAACTCAGGGCCAGCCCGTGGCATAGGCAGTATAGGCAAATGCTAAGGCGCTGTACATCCAGAAATGAGCGCGGTTAAGTTGGTTTTGTTTTCGATACTCCTGAAACGTTCAGCTATAGGGACAATAACTCAAAAACCTCTTACCCCTAGGATTGGGTATCGTTTTTTTTTTTTTAAATCAATACTTTTAAAACGGTACCGTGCCAAAACGGTGCCTGAACCGATACCTTTTAGCCACAAAATTAATCGACAAAAAAAAAAAAAATTATATATATATATATATCATTAAAATTTAATAATATAAATAAGTATTTATAATACGTTTAAAGTAAACATCAATTCATATTTTATTTATTTGAATTGCATTAATATATTTCTTTTGATCATTTGTTTATTAGCATAAATGCAAGATTTGCATTATGCTATTAACATTACTTTAGCTTACTACTAACCTGTGGAGGGCTGTCATCAAAATCTGAAAGCACCTTTTTTCTGGGTTTAGGGCTTGTGACTACTTTTACATGGACAACAGTGATCTAATGATTTGCCTTAATCTGAATAAGACAATAATATGATTCAGGTGTTTACATGAGCTGCTTTACATGCTGTTACATTCATGATTCCCAATTAAATGTTTTAGCACATAGATCACTAACATCATTGTGTCACGACCAGCCTAATGTTTACTCCGCAGTTTGTGTCCGTGGTCCTTTAAGATCAAACATCACTGTTTACGTGGTAGACTCGTGATCAGAGTATTGTCTTAATCATATTAAAATCAGAGTATTGGTGTCCAGGAAAACGTACACAGATAATGTTTCAGATGATGTCACAAGCTGTCAAAGACAGTCCATTCCTCACCTTTAAGGTGATTCCATGAGCCTTCACATGTTATTAAGTTTGACGTGTTTCTCCCTTACACGCAACTTTAGTAACATCTGCTGCATGTTGGTGTGTCAGAATCCTTGCTTATAAAATATAGCCATACTTTAGAATGATTAGTTTAAGCAAATTAGATGAACGCGATCATGCGTGTTGATGAAGTGAGTTTCTCGCCGCATGCACTGTACTGCACGCTTTGCCTACTATAAGCTACAATAACAAACACCTGACATCGCTGACATCCGTATCCCTCAAAGCTGTTTAGATTTAAACATTTAGAGATAGTGTGACACAACGCTTACTCACGTGTGCCTTTAACGCACCCTTTTGTGCTTCTTAAGGGCGTCAGCGGATGCGCCGCTCAGAGCCGCGGCACGGCGTGCACATGACAGTTGATCACACACCAGACGTGCACATTCGCATGTTATTTAAAATGAAACTATTCAGATGGCGCTCTGTGGCATGGCAGAAATATAAACAGTCATAAGTCGTGCCTGGGCACTGCGGACAGCCGCTGACTTGCGAATTTATGGCGCTGTACATCGCTGAGCGTCTGGTGCGCAACCTGCTATATCTTCTTATTGCAGCACCGAAATTAGGCACCGAAATTCATATGCTGATTTGATCCGGTGCATACCGGTTCCAAGTGCGCCGAGGCTTCGAAGCACGTATTAAAAAAACGATACATCTCATAGTGAAGCAGTGTACCTGAGCTTGATTCATTTTGCTATCATCACGTGATCAGTGACGTCCGAAGCTTCATTTTCGTCTATACCCACGTGACTGCTTCTAATTTTGATTCAAAGGTTTAAACACCCTCATAGTAAAGTGTATAGCGAGAGATTAGGCGTCGATTACATACATTTGTACTGTTTCAAAGCACTGCACCAGTCCCACAAACCAGTAATTAAACTAAAATACAATAGTAATTTTTAGTAAAAAGGTTTTGAACCATACTAAAGTGTATTAGCGTATTTTTTTTACAACTTTCTTTAAAGAAAACCACCGCATATCGTAGTATTGTGTTTAACAGAGACCAGCTGGCTGGCATCTCTGAAACATCACTTACATAGCTTCCTTCTAGAGCACTCGCCTCCCATGCAGGAATCGCTGGTTCGATTCCCACTTGGAACATGACTAGTTGTATTATGATAAATTTTTGAATACCTTGGATTTTACTAAAGTCATCAGTTGTGTATTGTAATATATCTTGTGTAAAAACTACAGTAATTGAGTAATTTGTTTATATTGCTGTTGTTGTATTACTACATGAATGAGTTGGTCAGTTGTGAACATTTGACATTGTGGCAGCACAGTGCTTTCCCACACTTTAACCAGAAGAGGTCCTCATCGAGCTCTGATTTAGAAAGCTTCGAGTAACGAACCTTTTTCCGATACAATTGAGTCGAGCGCTTCACTGGTTCAGAAAGCTTCATTTCACCATCTCTAGGTTTCAATACCCAACCCTAAAAGTGTGTTTCCTACAAAAAGACAAAGCTGGTTATGTTTCACAGCTGTCTTTTTCTCTTTTTTTGCTCTACATTACGACCACTGCTCCCTTTAGCCCTCGCAATATGCATTTAGCCAGGAGAGCTTGCGCGGATTGGAGCTCTCAGTAAGGGACCGTTAAAAAAGTGCTTATTTTTTTCGTTTTTTTTTCCTTGCTCTGCTCAGCATGAGCTCTCCTAGCGAAACGCATATTGCGAGGGCTTAAGTGTTTGTGTGTGTTTGTGTTTGTGTGTGTGTTAGTTTGTTAGTTTGTTTGGTGCTGTCTATGTTTGTGTACGTGTTTGAATGAGAGACAGTGTGGGGCTGTGTGTCTGTGTGTTGTAACAGCTTGTTGTAGCCTCCCCCCAAAATATAACATTGTGTATGGAAAGCATCGTCAGTACACCGTGATGCACTGAGAAATCGAATTGAACCGAATCGTGAGACCAGTGTAGGTTCACAGCTCTAGTTGTTAGGGCCAGCAACCTTCTTTGTGACCTTCTCCTGGACTGGGTCTTCTCTTAGTCGGCTTAAACAAAACAGCATTTAGTCATTTGGAGATGTAGGTGTTCTTTTTTTTTGTTTTGCAAAAAGTGAAAATTTTAAACATAAGTGATTAAATGCACCGATGAGTAGATATTGGTATCCAGAGTTGAGTTTATACTGGAGTACCAGTAAGCTTGTAACCAAGATAAACAGTGTAGATTTGCTTTGTCTGAATATACTTTGGTTTGAATAGCTATCCTTTGTTGTTTTTTTTTGCATCTTGCGGCCGATGCACAATTATACCCCTTGCATGTGTGGGGCATGCTTATGTCGATTTTTGTAAGCTGCTCCCAGAAGCCCCCTGAGACTGATGTTAGCATGTTGTATTTGTATAATGTTGTCCTTATATATTATACAAGTATTAAGTTAATTTAGTTATCTAATAAAAATTCACAGTTTATGGTCAGTTTATTTAGACTAATAATATGCAAAAGGTATAATTTGAAATAAATATTTTCATCAGGGTGTTAAAATAAACAAAAAAAAACTAACCTTCAGGTCACAAACAACTTTACTGACCAACAGTCACTGCATAATAAGCAAATCCATAATAATCTCAGTCACTGTAATATTCAGTTACAGTAGCTGTCCAAAATAATGTAGGGTTTTTTAATGGATGCTCACCAAAACAAATGTGTTCTGGAGAAATTTGTTGTGATTGTTGTTTATGTGTTAAACTTGACTTGTGCTGAATGTTTAAATGATCTGAAATGTATTTGTTTAAAAATAAATACATGGAACTGTAAAGTAATAACATTTGAATCGAAATGAATTCGAAACATAAAAAATAAATAGACTGCATTCCAAGCAACAGCTCAGGTCACATGATTCTTCAAAAATCATTGTAAAATGCTGATTGCAGGAAGAACACATACTCATTGTACTACAACTGAATATTGTGACCAACCTGTGCCCAGACAGACAGACATATATATATATATATATATATATATATATATATATATATATATTTATTTATATATGAGAAACATCACACGGTCCTTATTGACATGATGGCATCAAGCAGTTGCTACAGTTGCTATAGATTTGTTGGCTGCACATTCATGATGTGAATCTCCCGTTCCACCACATCTCAAAGGTTCTGTATTTGATTGAGATCTAGGGATTGTGGAGGCCATTTGTGTACAGTGAACTCCTTGTCATGTTCAAAAAACCAGTCTGAGATGATTTGAGCTTTATGACATGATGCTTTATTCTGAGATGCTCTACTGCATACTTCGGTTGCATTGAGTGGTTATTTGAGTAACTGTTGCCTTTTATATCAGCTCAAACCAGTCTGGTCATTCTTTATTGACCTTTGGCATCAACAAGGCATTTGCACCCACAGAACTGCCACTCACTGGATATTTTTTCTTTTTCGGACCATTCTCTGTAAACCCTAGAGACGGTTGTGCATAAAAATCTCAGTAGATCAGCAGTTTCTGAAATACATAGACCACACTGTCTGGCACCAACAACCATGCCACGTTCAAAGTCACTTAAATCACCTTCCTTCCCCATTCTTATGCTCCGTTTGAACTGCAGCTGATTGCCTCGACCATGTCTACATGCCTAAAGCTGCGGTCACACTGGGCTTTTCCTCCCATAGACTTCCATTCATACACATGCGTATGTGTATGTGAATGCGTCAGACCGGAAACGTAGTATCATGCATTAAGTTTCACAGGTTGCTGCGGTGCAAAGTTCAAGCTTGGTGAACTCTGACCTGCGAAATCGCATTACTAGACTGCGTGAGACCAATCGAGAATCAAAATATGACCTCTCTGGACAGAAATTTGAAACATTACTTGCTTTTTTTATGTTTTATCATCTTGTTTAATCCAGCACTTTTTTGCAGCTCCGGGCGACAGAGACACATTTATGTGGCCAAATGTAATGTGGCTGGACCCTTTATTGTGAAAAGATTTAAGACAGTCCTTTAAATCAATGAAGTGCTTCAATCACTTCTATGTACACAAGTATAATATGAAGCACCTAGACATGCCTTTACAAACCTAAATGAAGAAGGGATTAAAATATAATGTTTTATGTGAATATGTTGGGTAGTAATGCAAGAACATAATAAGAAATACTAAGTCTGTCTTCAAGTACAAGTCATGTCTGAAGTTAGTTGTTCGCAAGTTCTTGTGAAGTTGCGTGACATTGTAAGGGTGCTTTCACACCTGCCTTAGGGGCCGATTATTTAGTTTGGTTGAATCGGGCTAGAGTTTGTTTTCCCTCTTGGTGCAGTTTGTTTGGCCAGGTGTGAATGTAGCAATCGTACTCGAGTGCGCACCAAAAGCAGACAAAAAAAGTGTACCGAGACTTTCAAACAAACCCTGGAGCAGTTTGTTTGTGGTGAGAATATGATTCGAACTAAAACAGACCCAACCGCAAAAAGTACTGCGCCTTTTTGGACTAATCCAGCTGCCGTAGGCCCATGCTCTGTGCATAATGGAATGTGGAGGAAATATATTTGTTGTATTTAAATCAATATTTGAATCACGCACTTGCTGTATTATCAGTTCATCTATACTTAAATCCAGAGATGTATAAAGTACTAGAGACCCATACTTAAGTAAAAGTACAAGTGCTTTATCAAAAAGTGACTTGAGTAGAAGTAGAAGTGCTCTTTAAGCACCATACTTAAGTGGAAGTACAAAAGTATTCAACATTTTTTGTACTTAAGTATTGCAAGTAGTTTATTTCAAAATTTACTACTCAAGTACTGAAAGTAAAAGTACAAGTATTGTGTAATGTAGTTATTAAAGAAAGCAGTCAAAATACACTAATTGTTTTGTTTATTTTAAATATCTTTTTTGGGGTACTTGATTAAGCAGAACGAAAAGAAACATGGGTTATGATACTGTTTTTCTCTGTAAATAGTTTCTATGGTACAAGAGCTTACATCGTCAGGCCCTTTAACCAGAAAATCTCTTCACTGATGAGATAATTCAGCATGTTCACTCACATACATACTGTACTCTCTAATACCACAATGAACAGGAGTTCTGTCTTCTGGAAGCACTCGTGAAACTAAACTAAACAAGCAAACTAAATCCTGCTTCACTAATTAACTTGATTTTGATTTTATTGTAAAAAAAAAAAAAACAGGAAAATGTGTATATTACTGTGTTAAATGAAAATCTGAAATATTTTATGGCTTATGGCTATGATTTAGTAATAATTGTTATTTATTTTTATCATGTTTTTAATGAAATTGGTCTTACAGTTCATATTTTCTGTAATATATTTATTAATTCTGGTACTTTTACCATAAACCAACATCTCAACCATTTGGTAGAGGCTGATATTTTAGAAATAATGTGATGTGTTGAATAAAAATGCACTGATTGTGTTAACTAGCGACATTAGGAGTTAAGAAATGCAATCAAAAAAATTCTATTGCTTTTGTCTTGGTGTGACAGTTAAAGGGTTTTTGTAATAAAATTTTGTCCTTTAATACAGCAGTCAGATATACAAACTGTGCCCTTAATTTGACCTGCTCAAAGAAAACACTCTTTCTGGATGTATCAAACAAAACTCATGCACAGAAGACAGCACGAGCATTTACAGCAAATAAACTCATGTCAATATTATCCCGCCTGCTTATTGAGCTCTGACAGGCGGGTCTTACACGGCTATGATTGGTTATTGTCCTCAACAGAAAGGGCTTTAGAAATATAAGCGCTGTTCACCCATGGCGGGAAAAATACGCGATTATCACAGGTAATAGACACAGTGGAGAAAACTTAATTGCACATGAGACATGCTCATGTCTGGATCCACAGCTTTAACAGCTAAGAAGAGAGGAAAAGTTACCTTACAAACTGGCCAGCGGGTCAAATGTCCAAAGTGAGAGAGCGAGAGATAGGCAGATAGTTTTACAACATTTCTCCCTAACAGTAAACTAGCGGCTGGAGTGCTGTGCCGCCTCGCCCTCGCGCCTCCGTCCTTCGCCATAGTATTGCGACATCGCGCATAGGAGATAAATGACGTCATCACGTAATAACCGGTTATGACCTATTACTGAACTGATATCAATCATTTTGACACCCCTAGTAACGAGTAACGATGCAGCACATAAAAAATCTATCGGAGTAAAAGTATTAAACTCATGGAAAATATGTACTTAAGTAAAAGTGGAAGTAGGAGAAAAAAATAATACTCCAGTAAAGTACAGATACCGCCTTTTAGTACTTAAGTACAGTAGTGAAGTAGTTCTACTTCGTTACTATACATCTCTGCTTAAATCTGATCTAAGTGTACTGTTCTAGTACCTGAACTCGGGAAATATGTTTATTGAGAAGTCAGAGTCAGAAAGGACATTGGGCATGTCACAACTTAAGTAACTTGTGGATAAGGATTACTGGAGATGTGAACTATTTAAATTGATCCAGTTTGATTTGGTGAACTGGTTTGACCAGTTCTCTTAGAACAGTGGTTCTCAAACTGTAGTACGTGTTCCACTAGTGGTACGCATGCTTCCTTCTAGTGGTACGCGGAGAAATTAAATATGTCATGTACATGCTACACACATTAAAAAATGTATCAAAAATGATGTATATAATATGTCATATGTGACATATAGCCTATATTTCTGAGGTAGTCTGCCACGTTTTTTTAACTGTGCAGAGTTGTAGCTGCTTTACTGGGCCTACTACGCTACTGTATTTGAATAGTGCTTATTTTGGTGGTACTTGGAGAGACTATTTTTTTCTGAGGTGGTACTTGATGAAAAAAGTTTGAAAACCGCTGTCTTAGAAGATCCGGTTAAAAAAAAAAAAAGAATTAATTCTCGATTGGTCATCACTATTTCCAAAGAAAACTCAATCCAGGTACAGCAGTATTTTTCTGGCATGTTTGCAAATGTAAAACTGACCTGACCTTTGTTTTTTCTATTGCGTTTTGTCTATTCAGACACAACAAGAAAAATGGTAATGTCTGTTGTGGTTCCAAAGTCTATGACCACCACAACACGTCCTTGAGGTGCTGCTCTGATCATCTTTACAGTACACCTAGTGGAGAAGTAGAGTGCTGTGGAAACCACTTGCTGGAAAAAAATCAAATTTGCTGTTCCTCCTCAACCCTGGCCGTGAAATATTTCACCAAATTGAATCACCATTGCTGTGGGCATTACTACTACAACAAGTCCATCTGGAGTTGCTGTGCTGAACACCTTAAACCAACACCGGAGCGTCACACCCCTCTTGCAGACTACAGGACTAAACCACTAATGGAGCTTATCCCAGACATATGCAAAAAACCAGGTGAGGTGTCTTGAAAATATTTTTATGTTGCTGCCTAAAATAATATGCCTCATTACCACTGAGCGGTACAGAGCAGTAGAATTTGGTACAGGTCACCCTGATCATGCTTGCGTTTCCACTGCCAACAGTACTCTTAATTTGTAGGTAAGATGAATGCCAGAAAGTGATGACTGATGTAATCCTTGTTCAATGAAATCCATAGGGCGTATTCATAAATCACTTTTGCTGGCTTAAGTTCATTGTCAAATGTACAGTGCAAAAAATGCTTTTCTTACATAGATTTTTTGTCTCGTTTCTAGTCCAAATATCAAAAAGTTCTTAAATCAAGAAGCATTTTCTAGACAAGCAAAACATATTGTCGTTTTAAGAAACAATATGCCAAAATTAAGTGAGTTTTATCTTAAATCAAGCTAAATAATCTGCCAATGGAGTAAGCAAAATAATTTTATCACAAATCGAAAAACAAGATTATTTTGCTTACCCCATTGGCAGATTATTTAGCTTGATTTAAGAAAAAACTTGCTTCATTTTGGCATATTATTTCTTAAAACAAGACAATATGTTTTGCTTGTCTAGAAAATGCTTCTTGATTTAAGAATTTGTAGATATTTGGACTAAAAACAAGACAAAAAATCTTAATAAGAAAAGCATTTTTTGCAGTTTACAAGTGTATGCAAACAGAGTGAGCAGCACCCTTTACGCTTTCCACAGATTTAGATGTAAGATGTGAATGGCACCATAATCAACAATTAAGGACTTACAGCAGATATTGTTCTTGCTTCTTGGATTGTAGCTGTTTGTCACTAGATGATGATAACCTTTGTTTGACCTTGGGTTCACCAAATTGCATTCCTGCATGCTGTCATTACATATTAGGATGTCATGTTTTGGCTGTGTATTTAAAAAGGATGTTTCCTGTGTTTTTGTTACCCTGGCTTCCTCTGTACTCAAGTGATGACTCTCTGTAAACCAATGATTTTCTGCCGCATCTAGCTCCACCTTTTTGTTGTGCTACCCTTCAACGTGTAAGAGGTGATTGTTTTCAGAAAAATGTTTTTTTGTCCAGGGGTACGTTTGCGAATACTATGTTAGCCAACTGTTATGAATTAAATTTAAAATCTTTAATCAAAAAGAGGTTGAACCAAAACTTGGTAACAGGGATTAAAAACATAATCCCTGGTGCCCCTAAGCTCTCTCTCCCCAAAATTTAAACCAAAAACACAACCACTGAGAATTAACCAGAAAATATTATTTATTTACAGAAAATAAGGAGCAAAAAGAACATCAAGAGGGGTTCAGCCAAATTGAATGATAATAAACCAAGTTAACTAAATTAGAGTAAACTTCCCTGGATAGTAGAGAATAAAATAAAATAATGAAAACTTACTTCCATACTAACAACACAGGAGAAAACGAAAATAATAAATAGAAGGTACCAAACCTCCCTAACATGCTCCAAGCCAGACAGGGAGACAGAAAACTGGGTTTCTCCGGTGAGAATGTACAACTTCACATCGGCATCTCACAAAACGCCATATAGGAGACATCAGCAACAAACACTCATTTATATTACTCGAGTAATAATATTTCTACAGGGAATAATGTATGAGGAATCGAGAGAGAGAGAGAGCGGGGAGCCACTGAATCCATGCACTCAGAGGTTTTAAATACAGCCACCGCCAATCCAAGCGCCAATCACAATCCAGCGTAATCCACTGCAACTGCAAATAATTAGAAATGAGATAGAGCGAGAGAGAAAAAAAAACACCACCATATTACACCACAACAACTACTCGTAACACAACCAGAGATGTATAAAGTACTAGATAGCCAGACTTAAGTAAAAGTACAAGTACTCATCAAAAAGTGACTTGAGTAGAAGTTTAGTGGAAGTACTAAGGTATTCAACATTTATTGTACTTAAGTATTGCAAGTAGTTCATTTCAAAATGTACTACTCAAGTACTGAAATTAAAAGCACAAGTAGTGTGTAATGTAGTTATTAAAGGAAGCAGTCTAAAGACATCATAATGTTTTGTTTATTTTAAATTTCTTTTTGGGGGGCACGTGATTAAGCAGAATGAAAATAAACATGGCTTAGGATACTGTTTTTCTCTCGCGCTTGAACCACAGATCTGACAGATTATTATAGCAATAACACACGCCTTTCAAAGTTGTGCATCACAAAAACATTCCATAATCCAAAAACAATATTGAAACCCATTTTTGAACCCTCCTATTCTTTTAGAACATTCTAACATTTAAACTTTTTACAGTTTAGTTTTAGCAATCTTTATATTGACAATTGCAGTCTCTACAATTGTAGTATTATAAAGTTGTCTAGCGGTTTAATGAGATGATCAAGTGCAGGGGTGGACAAACTCTGTCTTGGAGGGCCAGTTCCTGCTACAGTTTAGCTCCAACTCTGATCACACACAACTGCTTATAGATTTCTGATGATCTTGAAGACACTGATTATCATGTTCAGGTGTGTTTGATTAGTGTTGCAGCTAAACTATGCAGGACACCGGCTCTCCAGAACCGAGTTTGCCCACCCCTGATCTAGTGCAGGGCTCGAAATTGCGACTGTTTTAGTCGCATATGCACCTGAAATTTTATCTGTGCGACCTCAAAATATATTTAGGAGCATTTGTGCGAGTGCATAAAACTGTTGTCGTGCAACCAGTTTTTACAGCAAAATGTTCACCACATGCACGGATTTAGGAGGCATTTACGTATTACGCATTTTGCACCTAAAAACACCAAACGTAGCGCTCAGGAATGGTTTAAAACAGTTGACATTTCAACTTGCTGCAGGAAACAATGCCCGCAATGCTTGTCCCGCCTTCAAGTGTTTCTTATTAGCCCACTGTGCTAGAACAGAACGTGAATGGATTGGTTAATATCAGCCGTCAATTACTGAGTTCCAATGACATGGAGCTACAGCCGCAAGAATATAAAAGTCTGCATCCGAGAGAATGAAAACAACACTGACAGATTTAGTTTCAGACACCATCTGAAGTTACACCAAAGAACAGCAGAGTTGTTAATTTCTTTCACGTCTAGTAGTGTATACAAGACCGGTGGGCGCATGTAGATTTTAGTTTATTTGCTAGCTTTGATATTTGTTAATGATCTAGCTTTTATATTTGTTAATATAAAACGTGTTGTAACGGTGCTCATAATCTTTGGTGGGTGTGACATTTTTGAAGTTAGGAGCACCGGTGCTACCAAGAAAAGAGGTTAATTTGAGCCATGTAGTGTGATTGGGTTGTCTATGGTCATCTATTCAGTGTCCGTTCATGATTTAGGCATGGATTTAGACTGCAGGAAGGGATGTGCATTTTCAATGCTATTATGCCAGTTTTCTCAGATCTCCTACTACACCTTAAAGTGAGGGTTTAAATAGTGTTACAGTACTATCGTACTTCTGATGGTGGAAACAATAATAAATACATACTGTACTGAACTGTACTACTCAGTGGAAATAAGCCATAAAATATAACATTTTAGAAGTGGAGTAAATGGTCCTAACTATTTTTGTGTTTGTTTCTAGTGTTCTTTGGCAAAGTGGAGAGCATGACCCTTAAAACCTCTTGGCGTCATGTTCTGTTGCAAGTCGTTTGGCAGGTGGATTTGAAGTTGAGAAATGTCACTAAAGACTCTTGGGATCACGTGTTCATGGATCACTGCAGCTCTCCTGTTATTGAGAAAGGCATGATCTACCTTTGGGAGAAAGAGGCCAATGGGTCTAAGCTTCTGTCACACCCTATTGACCAAGCCTCTGACATTCACATGTTCTATTTTTTATGTTACCAATTTAAGGATCACAAAAATGGATAGAAATGTGGAATGAGGTCTATCATGAGATTTCTGACCCCAGTAATTGAATGGTCACTGTATTTGTAAGCTGAACATTTATTTCAACCTTAAATCAAACAAAGTGTCAGTTAGTGTAGGCATGATTATGGCAGAGGCATCACACGTTGCACATCTGTCATTGTTGCCTACAGTGAACTGATCTTGTTTGGAGTGATCTGTTAAGCTATTAATCAGTAACAACAGTATACCGAGTTATCATACAAACATTATATAAGCATTTTTCTTGTACTGTATTTTTATATATTATCAGTCTCAGGTCTATCAAATTTATGTTTTAACAATTTGACAAGTCTGAAGGACTATGTGCTATAGTTTAAAAGGTGCTTTTAAACTTAATTGTCGTTTTAAAGAATGTTCTTTATAATAACACACTCAAATATATTTTCTGCATATTTGCTGGTTATCTTACTTTTTTAACAGCAATAAGCTTGGAGCTGAGTATTTCTCATTTTACTTCTTTTCACTGAATGAAAGATTGGTAGGTTTGTTACTACTAGCCAAACATTGGTCTTCATTTACTAATAAAAGTCAACATTTTTGTAGAGAGAAATCTTCAAATGACTTTTTTTTCTTGGTCTCAAGTCTTGGTTCACTGATAAATTTGCACTAAATATATTTTTGTAGGTAAGTTTACAATTTTGGAATGTGATGTGCTAAGACACACTTTGTATTAATGTGCAATTGGACCTGTTGTGAATCTCACACCATTTTTTTGTGAAGTTCTCCTGTATTTACAAATACAAAAGTAGGAATCTACACTACATAATTATTAGTAAATGAGACTAATTGTATGCAATACAGATAATTTATTTTGTAACTTCTAGATTTATACACAAACAACTGTGAAGAAGTGCTAATCAGACAGATTCCATATAATCATTGTGTGACTCGTGTTTGCTAATGTGAGTTAAATTTCGACTTGCAGATATTGCACTTGGCAAGAAATGCTATAATCATTGCCATTTGTGATTGTATGTCAAACAATTTTCTAAATAAAGCATTAGAAGCATTGAAATGCATTTCCATTCATTCATTTTCATTTCGACTTAGTCCCTTTATTAATTTGGGGTCATCACAGTGGAATGAACTACCAACTAATACAGTCTATGTTTTACATAGCGGATGCCCTTCCAGCTGCAATCCAATCACTGGGAAACATCCATACACACTCATGTACACACATACACTATTGACAATTTTAGCACACCCAATTCACCTATAACACATTTTAGGACTTGTGGGGGAAACCGGAGCACCCAGAGAAATCCCACACAAACACGAAGAGAACATGCAAACTCCACACTGAAATGCCAACTGACCCACTGCTACCCACTGTGCCACTGTGCTGCCTGAAATGCATTTTTTTTTTTTTGTCTGTAAATCAAGTTCTTGCAATGTTTTGTGTGTTAAAGGGAGTAATGTTTCCACTAGTAATCTGTGTATAATGTAAAAACGAACAAAAAACATTTAAATTAAAATTAAAAGGGTAAAAAGAAATGTACCCAGTCAAAGGTTTAGGGCCTAAATACAAACCTGATTGACATTCAAGTAACTTTAAAAAGTAAAACATGGTTTGCTGTACATTTACTGTTCTATTATCATGTTGGGGAAAATCTAACATAAATGTATTGTCCTTGTAAAATGTGTGGTATTTAACTTGTTCAAAATTATAGTCAACCGCTATGGTATTTATTTACCAGCCTTATCTCATGAGGAAACAATTATTTAATGTTTTGTCAATTCAGTGGTTAATTTGTACAAGTTCGGAGATAATAAAAGTGTAAGTTCTTTTAAAAGGAGGCATGGCACCAAACCTTACCCCTAAACCCAACCATCATTTGGGGGTAAGAAAATCATACTAAATTGTACGAATGAGATTATACAAATTCATATAATGAACTGAATGAACTGACAAACTTATGTAGCATATGTTTTACGCAGCAGATGCCCTTTCCGCTGCAACCCATTACTGGGAAACATCCATACACTCATTCACACACACACACACACACACACACACACACACACACACTATGGACAAATTAGCTTACCCAAATAGAGCATGTCTTTGGACTTGTAGGGGAAACTGGAGCTCCACAGGATTTTATTTTATTTTTTTACAATTTTTAATTTTTTTTCCATATAAATGAACAGAGACTACTCTTGTCCTTAAAAAGGGCTCCTCTCATTCTGTGTTTAACTTGAAATTAGTGGCTTACATGAATTTTTAATAAAAACATTTGCTGAGTTTGTAACCTCAAAGTTATTTATAGGATTTTCAAAGGTTGCCACTTTGGTTAGGGCTAATGTTGGGAATTATTCCGTGTATGAATTAAATATGTTATTTATCTAAAGAAGCCTGTATTGGTCTAAGCTTCTTGGACCTCATATTCTTGGCTGCCTTCACAGACCATATTTATATTTTAAAACCTGGTTGACTTGGCTTTACCCATATAAACAAAATATCTGTGAAGTATTCACTGTTAATTGTTAGCATACAGTGTACTGGCTTGACCACTGTCATTACCTTTTGGGCAGCAATTAAAGGTGACTTTCATGTTTTTTGAACTATCATGTTTATCTTTCTCAGAATTTATGGTTAATACAGTCATTTCACACTCCAGGCCATTTTTATTTAGATAAATGTCATAAGTACCACAACCACCTCACTTTTGGTCCCTCAATTACATACAAAACAGTATTTCATTCATTTTCCTTCGGCTTAGTCCCTTTATTAACCAGGGGTCGCCACAGCGGAATGAACCGCCCACTTATTCAGCTTATGTTTTACGCAGTGGATTCCCTTTCAGCTGCAACCCATCACTGGGAAACATGCATACAGACTAATTCACACACATACAATATGGACAATAGTTTACTCATTTCACCAATACCGCATGTCTTTAGACTTGTGGGAGAAACTGGAACATCCGGTTTGGAAAACCTACACGAGCAAGAGGAGAAAAGAGGTGCAAACTCCACACAGAAATACCGTCTAACCCAGCTGAGACTCGAAGCAGCGAAATTTTTGCTGTGAGATTGTGCTACTAACTGCGCCACCATGAAACCCTAAACACACTATTTAGGTTGGAAGGAAAACAAAATTCTCATATCATTGAATCAATGTTGTTATACAATAACTTCTGAAAACATTGAAATCACAGCTGAAATGTAACCTTTATATAAAATTAAAACTAAGTATGAAAAAAGTTAACTTTTTCAGTCACAACTTTATTCATTATGTTCTTACCGTGCTATTTTTTCTGTTTGATTCTGTCACCTAAAGCACTTTATTCCATGTCATGGAAATACAAAACATTCCCACAGAGGCAAAAAACAAACGAAGTGGAAAAAAGAATAAATTAATATGTTTCAGATGGCAAAGGAACTGTAGCAACCACATGGACAGCAAGAAGGTCGCTGGGTTGCTGGTTTGATCCTCGGCTCAGTTGGTGTTTCTGTGTGGAGTTTGCATGTTCTCCCTGTGTTCGCATAGGTTTACTCCGGGTGCTCCGGTTTCCCCCACTGTCCAAAGACATGCAGTACAGGTGAATTGGGTAGGCTAAATTGTCCGTAGTGTTTGAGTGTGTGTGTGGACCCAGAGATGGGTTGCGGCTGGAAGGGCATCCGCTGCGTAAAAACTTGCGGGATAAGTTGGCGGTTCATTCCGCTGTGGTGACCTCACATTAAAAAAGGGACTAAGCTGACAAGAAAATGAATGAATGAATGAATGAATGAATGAATGAATGTTCTACGCAGCGCATGCCCTTCCAGCTGCAACCTTCACCTTTCTAGCTGAAGAGCCGAACTACAGCTGTCAGCTAAGGCACAATCGCTTGTGGTGAAGGAACATAGCATTTCCATTCCCCCCCTCGGGAAACGAGGGTTACTTTAGTAATTGTTTCTTACATCCAGCAGGAGGGGAACTTCAATGCTATGTGGAAACTTCCACTATGGGGAAATGTAAAGAAAACGCCACAGCGATTAAACTCTACCACTTCATTGCTGAGAGGTTTGCCAGGCTCTTAGCATGAGTGCACCATCATTAACCGAGACGCAGCCCTTCAACGTGCACACTGGCCCTAATTTACCTCACTTATCTGTTAAGAATTTAAGGCTAATTTATATTTTGGGAGGAGTCATAAAAATACACCTAGTTAATTCTCTAGGAATTTAAAAATATGACAGTACATTGGGAAAGCGTGCAGTCCTAATAGGGAGGATACTGCGGAGGCCACCTGCTGCCTAAATGGTTAGTGGGTAAGGAGACACGGGCCCGCCTACGAAGGGGGAACTATACCGTGGCTGAGTGAAGCATCTGGGATCGTCAGTGGGGATCGCGCATAGCAGGCTCCTATACCTAGAACGCGGGCTGACCAGCGGTCATGCCAACAACAAAATGGGCAGTGCACCTGATTCCTTCGCTGAGTCAGGTGCTGGGGGTCTTGGAGGAACTCTGAAGGGTTCGCCAGAAGGGGAACTCAACTGAACAGAGTTAAAAAAGCACAAGTATCTCTGTGTTAAAGAGAAAGGCGCAGCAAGTGTGTTACAGCACCAAGCTAAATTTAACTTATTCATTGGAGTTCACCAGCACCCATGAGGATATCAAAAAGGATAAAGTCTTGCAAATATATTAGGTGTCGCCCAGCATGCAGCTCTACAGATAACTGCTAGAGAGGCACTGCCTGCTAACCCCCAATAGGAAGCGACGCTCCTAGTGTAGTGCGCTCTTACTCCAGGGGGACACAGCTTGCCCTGGCTGAAATAAGGGAGGGAGATGGCATTCACTATCCAGTGGGACAACTTTTGTTTGGATGCGGCACTTCCCTTGTGCCAACAGCCTTAACAGACAAAGAGCTGCTTAGAGGATTTAAACCTCTGAGTGTGGTCCACACAAATATGCAGAGCGTGAACAGGACACAGCAATGAAAGGGCTGCCCGTGGTTCCGCCATCCACCGCATCTAGGTGAGCAAAAAAGGCATCAGCGTAAACCTTTAGTGTGGAGGGTGACAGCCTCCGCTCCAACCTATCCTAAAGGAAACAAAGCACAACACTTATGTGGCAAGTTCAGCGGTTTACTCTGCTAGAAGCGCACCATTCAGTGACAAGACTTCACTTCAGGGCAATGGCATGCCTCGCAGAGGGTGCTCTAGCCTGAGTGATGGTGTTAACCTACGTGGCCGGTGGGTCACCTGATGCCCCGTTTACACTTATGCGTTTTCAAAAAAGCATATGCGTAGCAAGTTTTGCTACAGTTACACCATCTGTCCACACAACGCCGGAGTTTTCGAGCGCCAAAAATGGAGCGTTTTGAAAACGCTGAAGAGGCTGTTTTCATTCTAAAACGCTGCTGCTCCGTCTCAGTGTGGATGGGGAAAACGGAGACATCTGAAAACGGAGGTGGTGCTGCAGTCATTCGCCACTCTGATTGGGGCTTTTCCCTCAATAAGAAGTACCCTACACACAGTTAAGTCCTGCATTCTCTTCTTGTAAGTTCAGACTTTGCAAGTTTGATATGGAAAACAGACTCCTGAGGACCGGTAAATCTTCAAAGGGAACAGTGTACTTTATGACCTTATTCACATCATCTTGGTTACGTTGTTTCACTTTATTTTAATAATATAATGAAAAGCTGATATAAGGAGTTGCTATTTTCATTTTGATATTAGCAACTTAACAGACAGCAGAAATGTTGAGGCGTTATGTAGCTGTATATATGAGCGTCATCTTCGCTGTATACAAATTCATAACAAAACGGAGCCTATAACATCACTGCCCCCTTTCAATTTCATTGAAAATAACAAACCCTCTCTTTTGCTGAATATCAGTTTTAATAATCAATAATGGCCTTTATAAAAGTATAACATACATTAAGTTTATACAATCAGTCAATACACAGAATGTACGTGGTTACATTAATTATTAACTAATTGCGCTCAGCCAAAGCACGTTACCTGAGAACAAATAATAGATTCAAAAGACTAAAGTCAGGGAATATGTAGTTAGATATAGACAACA